TACTTCTTTCCACTGTTATACATTTTGTGCGTATTGATAATGTCGTTCAAGCTTTTGTTTACTTCATACGATACAAACTTTTTATTATGTTTTGGGTGCTTGTTGCTACCACAGACTTGGCTCCCGATCGCGATATTAGTAATCAGTTATGTTGTTGCATAAATTATGATGTTATGTTGAACATGATTGCGAATAGATTGATTCATTATACGAAATGAACGATACATTTTATTTTGATTCACATTGTATTACCTACCACAGATTTGATTGGGCGACATCTGTCCGACAGTCGAATTACCGGTTTCGGACAAGAATCGCTGTCAGATAGAAGTCGTTTTTGGCGACATCTGTCCAACTTTCGGATCACATTTGTGATTTCGGATCACGTTCGTATTTCACAAGCTCACGGGTAATCTTGTGACGTTGCTCCCACAGTCCTAATATAATGCTGATTTGATCCATAATTGAGATCTGATCCATCGATACGTGATTGACTATTTGAGGACAGGATCATGCTAGCCGTATACAGTATACACTAACAAGCTGCCAAAGTGCCAAGTGCCAATCACATCACAGCCTACATTACACACAGGAGAGCGGTATGTAGATCAGTTATTTATATATAACATTTAAACTATTGTCCAATTTTTGACATCAAATGAAAATAAACTATGGTAGAGTTCAGCTCAGGTCATATCTCAGTTCAGATCATGTCTCCAATTGGAAAATGGAAATGTGTCGTATTGCAATTAGATCAAAATTTCGGAAAGATGTCTTTTTTTCTGGTAACTATATTAATATTGAGTCGGACAAGAGTCGCTGTCGGACAGATGTCCTTTTAACTGCATCATGCATATCACCGCACAGGCTGCGCTACGGTGTCCGGTCGTTTAACTTTCGATTCAAATAATTGACAACGGCAACCATTCCATTTTGTTCTCTGTAACGCCCCAAAGAAATTTGGTAATTTAACCAATATGAAACGATCGTTAATTGTAATTAATTACTATTATTATACGGGCGATGGAAATCTAGCGTCCGCTAACCGGCGCAATTCTTGTTATCAATGATATCGAACATTGTATCATGCACTCTATAATTCGATGTTTTGCTGATGACACTCGCATATCTATTGCTATCAAATCAGAGCATGACGTCAAGCTCCTCCAAAATGTCATTGATTGGTCTGAAAGAAATAATATGGCCCTTCACAAAGACAAATTTGAGTACATGTGTCACAAATTCAACCACCAATATGTACTATCTGAGCTTCCATTTGTGGTTGAACATTATCAATACTCAGTTTCCAAAGACAATCGTACAGTAGGATCCGACATAAACTATTGTCCAAATAACCTATTTTCGGATTCGGACAGATGTCGCTGTCGGACAGATGTCGCCCAATCGACACTACACTTGAGCCAATACATCAGCTCAGAGATTTAGGCGTCATAGTGTCAAGTGATCTCTCATGGTCCCCTCACATACGAGCCATTGCAGATAAAGCTCGCCAAAAAGCATCATGGGTTCTCAGTGTATTTCACACACGATCTCACTCCATCATGCTGACGCTATACAAATCAATGGTTTGAAGTCTGATTGAATATTGCTGTCCATTATGGCATCCCTCAAAAATCAGCGATATCCAAGAACTGGAGAGCACTTCAAAGATAAGCTCACAAAGTTTATGTTGTCTCTCCCTGATAAGCCGCCGATCAGGGGATATACTCCTCCAAATACGAACTCTCTGCTGTGCTGGCGCAACGAGCGAGACTCTACTTCGCTATGGGGTGGTCAGAAGATGTGATGGCCCCGTCAAGTCTTGACGAAAGTCGAAACTCAACATAGGACATAGGTAGGTAGGACGTAGGTGTTAATAAAATTCAAAGAGTTGAAATAAATGAGACTTTTTCGTTAATTCTGCCAAAATTTCCGGATTTGTCCGAAATTCCGAAACCACCCCTCCCTATTTGCCGGACGTCCGAAGTAGATGGCCCCTAATTGACTAAACATAACTTAAAGGGGCCGGGGGGACTAAAAACAGCTGATAGATTTTACTCCCCTCTATCAGAAAGAACTATAAAGTCAATTTCGAGAGAATTTTGATGAAGACCCCTTGTAGGTTTACAACCTACCAGGACGCGCGCCGAGTTGGACTCGTCGACGGTCCAATATATGGAACAGATCTTTTACGAGTATCACCCGTTAAAAGACCCCCCGGCCCCCTTAACAGGTAATACTCGTAAAATATTTGTTTCAGGACCGTCGACGAGTCCAACTCTGCGCGCGTCCTGGTAGGTTATAAACCTACAAGTACAAAACATAACACATACTTATAAAGTTAGATAAGAAAGCTAGCTGGGTAATATACTGTCACCAAGATGTAACTAGGTCTAACCAAACGGAGAAATTAGGTCTCACGCAGGCGCGTGATATATATAAATGATAAATACACTTAAAAGCCGCGCTTGCTTGAGACCTAATTTCTGCGTGAGACCTAATTTCTCCGTTCGACCTAGTTACATTTTGGTGACAGTTATGCTTGTTGCGTAAATTGCACAGCCAACACTCCAACAGCTTAACGCCTTAAGTCTTATTCGGCCCAAATAAAACTTTTTGGGATAACTCAAAATCTTCATTCATCATTGTCTCAAACTTCCCGGGGGGGGGGGGGGGGGGAGGGGGGACGTTATTTTACTGTTTTGTGTCTACAAGGTGAACATTTTGCAGTAAAGTCTATATTTTTACTTTCTTGTCTCACGTCGTGATCTTCATCACTCATCGTCATTTCATTTCATACCGTGCCGAAAGCAACGATATAGCCGCGCCGCGGGGCCGCAACGTGTGGCTCTCCCTGTATCGTAGAAACTTTATTGATTGACGATGTCAACCCATCGATATCGTTGATTCGTTGCTCTGCGAAGCAAAACAACGATCGACGATGCGAAGCAAGAATGCTAGTTTGTGCGGCGAAGTCTTCCAAAAACTCTACTATAGTGTTGTAGGTTTACAACCTACCAGGACGCGCGCCGAGTTGGACTCGTCGACGGTCCTATTCCTAATATATGGAACAAATATTTTACGAGTATCACCCGTTAACTATAGTGAAACGACCGTGGGGGTCGCAACGTGATACAAGGCCCATGGTAGTTGGTTGTGCTCGGTAACCGAGCGACATAAAGTTAAACTTTAACCCAACATCTTGATTCCTGTAACTCTTGTATTTATCATTATAGAGTTGAAAAAGGCCATTGCCACGATTTTATCAAAGAAATGGAACTTAAAATTAGAGTTGATGGATCCGGATTTTTGGAACATGGGGACAAAAGTGGGACATGCATTTATTTGCCCTAATAAGCCCTGAATGGTGCCAAAAATAATTGTAAATGATAGATATAGCTGCAAGCTACTAGGTATAGGGGCCATCGAAAGTAGCATAACATTACCCAGGTTCATGGAATGAACGAAAATGAACATTCTCCTCAAATTGCTCGGAATGGTTCAAAATTGGTCGCAAAGAGTTCTAGTTATATTGGTCCTAGGACCACTCAAACCAAGTTTGGGAATCACTGCATGTCTAGAACCGATGTAACCAATGTTCCAATTTTGTCCCAATAATCCTCCTGAGTATCCAGATTTTTGGAACATGGGGACATTTTACCTGGGGACCTCTTGTCATACGTTGTATGACCCGCCGCGCACGAAGTGCGCGGCTCCCCCTGTATCGTCAGGACGATAAAGGGGGAGTGAAACGACCGTGGGGGTCGCAACGTGATACAAGGGACCTCAGGCTATCATGTTTATAAACAACCGAATAGAGATTAGGCGGAATGACAAAATCGTCGTTTAATTATGGGACAATTTTGAAAAACTTGACTGAGGTACTAGCAAAACTGCGCGTTTTGCTCTAGAAACACACCTTTTTAGAGATTTTACCGGCGTATCCTCTAAAAGCACCTCATTTGTTCAATTTTAGTGAGGGGCGCTAAAAGGGGGGGGGGGGGGGGGGGGGGGGGGCAACAGACAACGTTATGCCACTGGTTTGGGAATCACTGTATGTCTAGAACCGATGTAACCAATGTTCCAATAATCCTCCTGAGTTAGTATCCCATATTCAATTTGGCGACAAATTTTGTATTATATTTTCGTTAAAGTTCCTATTAGAACTTCACCAGCAACCTTTCTCCCTCATTTTGTAGGTTTACAACCTACCAGAACGCGCGCCTTACCTGAGGACCCCAGGCTATTATGTTCATTAACATATATAATATAAGATTTGGCGGAATGACAGGCTGAGCGCGGCCCAGTAACGCGCGCCGAGTTGGACTCGTCGACGGTCCTAATATTGAATATATGGAACAGATATTATACGAGTATCACCCGTTAACCCTCAACCAACTCGTTCACAGGTGATCGCGTCTTTACAGCTTGTCGAGCTCCGCGCGCGCTCGTAAGTTCATTAACGGGTGATACTCGTAAAATATTTGTTCCAACTCGGCGCGCGTCCTGGTAGGTTATAAACATACAACCTAACTTTGCGTAGTCAAATAAGTCAAATGCCAATTTTAAAATACCATGACCAAAAGAAACTAGAGAATTTTGTCAACACAAAATACAAAAGGGGACTCCTGGATGGGGTCGTAAAAACGCGATCTTCATTCTTCACCCTCAAAATCGACTTTTAAATTTCATACTTTGTACTTTTCCCCGTCAAAATAAGCCTTATATCGAAATATCCCCCCCCCGCCTTTGGCGTCGCGAGCGAAAAGTGGGATGCAACGTATGTCAACCCTTTCTCAACTTTCTACCGCCCCCCCTTCCTGTGCTCTTTTCTGAACTCTCGGCTCTCTCATTATATAATACCCTCATTGACATTGTATCACGTTGCGACCCCCACGGTCGTCCTGACGATACAGGGGGAGCCGCGCACTTCGTGCGCGGCGGGTCACACAACGTATGACAACATGGGCCTGCTGCACAAATAAATGAAACACAAAATTCCATGGTAATTGGTAAAGTGTTCACAGTTTAGGAATTATTAATATCATAGAGCACTGGATTTAGTGAGCAATAAATCGTTTATAAATAAATCCGTTATCTATGGAGCGAACTTATAGTTAAATCAAGGTTGAAAATCATCTAATACTGAGAGTAGAGCTAGGGAGTCGCATGAAATTACTGCCGTGAAAACAGCGTTATCACGTGACTCGGGTTCTAGTGGAAAAGTTTGCTTTAACTTTTTTAGTTGGCTAAATTGTAGACGATAAATGATAAAGAAGATCAAAATATATATTATTTAAAAAATAATTTACAAACTCCGGATTATAAGGGTTTTGAGGGCGTGATCCCCCTCCCTCCATTTGCAGCGTTAATAAGTTACGCTTACAAGTGGAATACAAATTGTCTTCGGGCGTTCATTCAGATAAGTTTGCTATTAAGGGGAAGTTTTTGGCGCAGTTTTGGCAGGTGCTCGATATGCAGGTGTTATAGAAGGGTCTGCTACGGTGGTTGGCGGCGTTGTTTTAATTGCGCGCTCGGCTGCTGGGCGGGCCGGCGCAACATACGGCACAGGATCTATACGTGCTGCAGGGCGGGCCGGCGCAACATACGGCACAGGATCATAATCTACACTTGCTGCACTAGCTGGAGGCGCGTAGGGATCTTTCCTAGGCGGAGGTCGTGCATATCCGTAAGCGTCTAGTTCTTCGTAAGGGTCTCTTAGTAGTCGAGGGTCTGAATAATAAGGGTCCCTTTCGTAAGGATAAGTATACGGATCATAAGCCTGGTGACGAGGGCGGGCACCAGGAGAGCGTGGTGGTGCAGCTGGATGTACCGTTCTAGTTTCAGCTGGTAAAGGCGGCGCACGTGCAGGAGGTGGTGCTCGTGCAGGCACTGTTGCTGCGAGGATAGCCTCATACACGGCGGCCGGTTCAGTGGGAGCTGCAGCAGCCTTAGCAAGGGGTGGCGGTTGAGCGTAAGGGTCCCTGGCTCGAGGATCGGTGGGAGTAGCAGCGGGCCTGGGGGCTGGAGTGGCCTCAGTTCCTGGTGCTGGCGGCGCTGCATAAGGGTCCCTAGTTCCTGGTGCTGGCGGCGCTGCATAAGGGTCCCTATCAGGCTGAACTCCGTAGGGGGCTCTTGCAGGGGGCTGGGTGGCGTAGTAATCGTCATAATATGGGTCTCTAGCTGGAGCTGGGTGGTATGAAGGATCTGCCTCAGAATAAGGGGGGCGGGGTGCGCTGTAGTATTCCTCATAATATGGGTCCCGTCTGGGCGGGGGGTATGTATTTCCTTCTAGACCCAGAGGGGGTGCGTGGGGCGGCGGGCGCGCTCTTGGTGCATAATAAGGATCATCGTAGTAAGGATCTCTTCTCGGACGGTGGGAATGGTCCTCAGCAAAGTACTGCACGTCATCGTATACGTGTCTTGTCGGCCTGATAATGTACTTGATTAGTAGATTCAGGTTGTCTCTTATTATAGAGATCATAGTCATACTGTTTGTGATTTTGGAATTTCGGACAAATCCGTACAGGGGGAGGGGGGGGGGGGTTCTGAAAATCCGGACGTCCAGAAATTTTGGCAGAATTAACGAAAAAGTCCCATTTATTTCAACTCTTTGACACTAATTACTCTGTAAGTTTAGATCCCTGTATTTTGAACGAGAAGTCGATTCCCAGAGCAGCTCATGAGAGCAGAGACACAACTCGCATATAATATTATCTTATTATATAATATTATCTTATTGCCTTTTATACTTTATGTCGCCAGCCAGTCTGGCGACAATCCGGACGTCCGGGGGAGGGGGGTGGTTTCGAAAATTCGGATACACCCGGACAGGGGGAGGGGGGTGGTCTGAAAATCCGCGATTTTGGCGGACGTCCTAAGTAGATGGCCCCTAAGTAGATGACCCCTAAGTAGATGGCCCCTAAGTAGATGGCCCCTTAGTAGATGGCCCCTAAATGTACAGTATGCACTTGGTCATGTTCATTTGAGGATATTGATACAATATTTGTAACCCTATTAAAAACACGGGCAGTTAAATTTATCATATGTACAATGTACATTGTATAATATACATTGTATATGAACCCTTGATGGTTAGGATAATCAAACTATACTAGATATCACATTATATATTAGCGATATCTTAATCAGGTGGTAAGATATCGCCTACATTTGGCCGGCACAGAAATGTTACATTTTCACACTGTAAACAGGTGGCCGAATTAAAGAGTGTCAGGATAGTTCAACATGATATGACTATTATCTACATATTTAACGACTTTTTCCGTTAAATGGTTAAATGGTGTCTCCAAGTTAATGTCCCCAAGTATATATGATGAACTACACCGTAGTAGCGGTGAGTATAGTAGAGTATATACTAGAGTGTATATGATGAATGTTTAGGACAACCCTGACAAGCAATGCCCAGTAGTGTGGAATAGTTGTAAGCAAATACATTGTCACACTAACACTAACACTAACACTAACACTAACACTAACACTAACACTAACACTAACACTAACACTAACACTAACACTAACACTAACACTAACACTAACGCAAAGGCAAAACAAGTTTCATCAAAACCGTGCTCTTTAACCAATAATGTATAATGATTATTAGATTAAATTTAACCTAATCTGCTAAATTTTAGACCAAGGAACAATAATTGGGCAGACACAGTTGACAAAAGAAATCACAAAATTGTGACATTTTAGTTTTAGGGGGGAGGGAGCTGACCATATTAAAGTGTATTAAAATGTAAGTTTTTCCCGATTTGAGGGCGAGATATACTTTAATATAACCTATATCCATATCTTTTTGGAGGCCCATACCACAGTAAGCTTGAAATACAATTCTTAATCTATTAATTTCATGCAAAAATATCATCATATTGGAAACTGATGGAATCATTTCAATTTTAATGAAGTCATTTTGGCGAGTAAAATTCAAAAATATTGAAATTTGATCGAATTTTAGGCAAAGCGTTCAAATTCGGTGCGTATGCCCAAATATGGGCGTATGGTTTTTAGCTCACAACTCAGCCATTTTTTGTCCAAACTGGATTCATGTACTTATCCAAAAACAGGCTGATCTTGCAAATCTAAACGAAGAATATAGCTCGACAAATTTTGGGTATATTAAAGTGTATTAAAGTGTATTAAAATGTCGGGTTTTTTTTTATTTGAGGGCGGGGATATACTTTAATATGGTCAGACCCCCCGGCCCCCAAATTTTGTGTGTGTGAGTGACCAATACCAACTTCAAATGAAAGAGTTCATATATACTGTTTATTTAGTGAACCTGGCTCGTTTACTGAGGAAGCCTCTCTGTGGTGGTGGTCCGCCCCGTCTCACTCTGCCCCCCCCCCCCTCTCTCTCCTCACTTCTACAAACCTGGCTCGTTTACTGAGGAAGCCTCTCTGTGGTGGTGGTCCGCCCCGTCTCACTCCGCCCCCCCCCCCTCTCTCTCCTCACTTCTACAAACCTGGCTCGTTTACTGAGGAAGCCTCTCTGTGGTGGTGGTCCGCCCCGTCTCACTCTGCCCCCCCCCTCTCTCTCCTCACTTCTACAAACCTGGCTCGTTTACTGAGGAAGCCTCTCTGTGGTGGTGGTCCGCCCCGTCTCACTCTGCCCCCCCCCCCTCTCTCTCCTCACTTCTACAAACCTGGCTCGTTTACTGAGGAAGCCTCTCTGTGGTGGTGGTCCGCCCCGTCTCACTCTGCCCCCCCCCCCCCCTCTCTCTCCTCACTTCTACAAACCTGGCTCGTTTACTGAGGAAGCCTCTCTGTGGTGGTGGTCCGCCCCGTCTCACTCCGCCCCCCCCCCTCTCTCTCCTCACTTCTACAAACCTGGCTCGTTTACTGAGGAAGCCTCTCTGTGGTGGTGGTCCGCCCCGTCTCACTCTGCCCCCCCCCCTCTCTCTCCTCACTTCTACAAACCTGGCTCGTTTACTGAGGAAGCCTCTCTGTGGTGGTGGTCCGCCCCGTCTCACTCTGCCCCCCCCCCCCCCCCCCCTCTCTCTCCTCACTTCTACAAACCTGGCTCGTTTACTGAGGAAGCCTCTCTGTGGTGGTGGTCCGCCCCGTCTCACTCCCCTCTCGCGCCTCACTTCTACAAACGCTTCAGCTGAAATACAACAGGTTATTGGCTAAACTACTACTACTGCATATTAGCTATACAATATACATCGTCCTTAACCTGGGATCCAGGGATCCTTTACATATTACAAGTCACATTTCTTGTAATAAAAAAGTTAAATGTTGAATTATCATCATGGTAAGGAATCTAACTTAGTCAGATTTTACTTAAATACTATTATTAAGGAATATCCTGAAAAACCTCTTTTTTTGGCTTTGCTGTTGTGAGTGATCTGAATCTTAAATGTTGACTCGAAGTGTTTTGCGCCGTCCAATTCTTTCATAGCCCTCTTAGCGTCGTACAGCTCAGAGAACTCAACAAATGCATATCCTGGTGTATTAATAGTCAATATAGCGTTTTAGTAACTCAGTAGTGTAGTGTGTAGCGTGTACACTCAACAATTTGCAACATTGTTGAAAAAAGTTTAATTTGTTGGTGATGGTATCATGACAGATCACAAAAAATAGGATTCAAACAAAACCCAGCAACGAACTCTTAGTAGGTTGGTAACTACCTACCCTTAGGGTTCCTAGCGATCCAGACGTCGATGACGTCTCCATAGGGACCAAACACCGACAGGAGCATCTCCTTGGTAATATCCTCCTGCAAGTCTCCCACATAGAGGCGCGGTCTCTCCTCACTCTCTTCCTCGTACTCCGCAGGGTATGAAGTGTCGTACAGATCCTCCTCCTAAGGCATATCTAGATACTAAATCTTATATTTTCCGGGAAGGGGGACCCCCAATTAATTATCAGGGGTCAGATCGTATCACCAATTACTAATTAGTGACGTATAATTAGTGATGTGATCCATAAGTATAATTTAATTGACCTAGAAATGGGCTAGATATAGAGTTCATATATTAAGAAGTAAACATGATCTTTAAGATTTGTCTGCTTGACTCGTAGATCACATAAGGGACGGGAGCTCTTGCTAATGGGGGTGGTAAGTTAAAGTAGATAATTGAAATAACTCCAATAAAAGGTACTGTCTTGGCAACTCGCCAACCTGCCACTCGTCGAAATAGCCCCTCTGAGAAAGACGTCCTCTGCTTCTCCCACTTCTCCCTCCTCTCCCACCTCTCCCACGACCCCTTCGACCTCCACGACCGCCTCTCTCTCCTTCTTTCTTGCCACTTTTAGCTTTCGTGCGCTCGATTCTAAATACAATGGTCAGTAGAGGAATATGCATAGCTGGAATTGCAATTAAATGCATTGCGATCCCAAAGCTTTGTCAAAATTGCGCTATTTGCATAAAAGTTTAACGTTGAAATCATATCAGTATCACGTTATTGGAAAATGTAGAGAGTTCAAAATTTCTGATAATTTCGTACATGCCCCAAGGAGAAAATGCTTAACGTTTCAATGTAACGAAATCTTATTCATGTTCTAAAAAATTTGAGAGTTATACAGGGGGGGGGGGGGGGGGGGGAGGGGGCATACGTTGGCCTTTATGGCTCAGTCACTGAGTGACCAATTGAAATAATTCTTTCTGGTACGACTTACTACCACCACTGGTTCGAGGAATTTGTCAAATCGAAAAATATTCGAGTTCATTTTTTTCAAATGAAGGTTCATTCTTGCATTTATTTGATAGTTTGGATAGTCGGATCGAGCTAAATTTTATTGAATTGTGTTTGACCATTCGAATTACGTTTCTCCTGAACAAATTAGAGTTGTAGCTGCTCAGATGGCCGAGATACGAAGCATAACGAGTTTATTCATTACGTGTGATCAGGTGATTGGCTTACCTGATCACGTGATAAGGTGACCCCGTTAAACATTATGGGAATCGTTAAGGCTGGCCATTGGCACAACGCATGCCACCTTCATTTTACGTATTCACTGACACTATCCATATACAGTATTTTATTAATTTATGGTTGTATATTCATTGTATGTTCATTTTAATTTTCGTGCAGTGTAGTGTACCAATACACCGGCCAATGTATCCCTTGTTTTTGCCGCAACTATGAATGAAACATTTAAAGGGTGTATAGGTTGTCCCGGCAAAATCCTCTTTAAATTAATGACGGACGATCTTAAAGATCGTAATTTGGTTATGAACACGTTAGAAGAATTGAATGAAATAAAGGATATAGCCCGCTGTAGGCAATGTTGTATACCAGTACCACGGTAAATTCTATTTGTACTGTTTATTCCTGTTAATAAAAATAAAATAAAATAAAATAATTTATTTAGGGTTGTATAATCTCGTATATTCATTTTCATTTTTTAGATTTCTTTTAATTCCGTGTATGCGACAAAAGGAAAATGGTATTTTCAGATAAAGGGGAAAGAACATTTTCTCTTTGTCGCATACACGATAAGATTAAGAAATTTTCATCACAAAAATCACAAAAATGCGACACACAAATAATGTTGATATCCGGATATTACACTCGTGATTATAAACTAATTTTGTTACGATTTTTGTCCCAAAATATTTTGGATTTAGTTATCTAAATTAAAAGCTGATAATTGATAAACAATATTTTTACGTTTTGAATGTTTGATTAAAATCTTTATTAGAATATGAATACAGTTTCCTTAACCTGAACAAGAGCATTTTCCCTTTGTCGCATGTATCAGAAATTTGTAACTCTAAACATCACTACTCTAGTAACATCACTACTCTAAACATCACTACTCTAGTAGCATCACAACAATGCGACTAATAAATAATGTTCCAATCCGGATATCATTGGAAAACCTTACTAATTATGTAATCAGCTAGCACTCACCTAATGGTAACCCCCAGTGCTTCTGTATTATTAAGCGCAGCCATCGCCTCTCTTGCACTTTCAACAGTCTCCATCTCCACAAACGCGTAACCAGGTGGGTCCTTAGCAACCCAGATATCCTTGACATCGCCGTACGGTGCAAACACCTGCTCTAACTCCCACTTCTCCACCACTTTATCGCCGTAAAGTCCCCCCACAAAGAGACGGGGTGACTGGTTGAGTGCGGGGGTAGTGTATACACTACCCTCCTTCAGTGCGGGGGCGCCCTGGTTCAGTGTCTCGGACATACTTGGGAGCAAGGGCGTGTGACAAAACACTCAAAAGTAACATAGGTACTGTTTAAACTGTGATGTTCCTCACTTCAAACTCAAAGGTTCACCAACCAAAGCGCGATTTTCTAAAATTTGCGAAGCGATGCAGTAGTAGAGATATACCAGGTGTCGAAGCTCGCATCAAAATTTGCGCAAACGAGGCACAAAAATCTGCGCTAGTACAGCTCGATTTAAATTTTGTGCGAGTAGAATAAAATAGCCAGCAGCTCATAACAGTAAAATCAGTGATTCTTATTTTCAAATTGTTTTATTCATTTTATGTCTCAATTATTTAACCATTTGAACATTTTCAGTCGCAAATCCGGAGTTTGTGAACCTTGAAAAGCTTATCCATCATCTAAGACTGGCAAAAAATAACAACGATGAATAATTCAAATTATAAGACTATTTGTATTCCGAATCTTAAAGAATATTAAAAGAACAATTTAGAATAAAATCAATAGTATTATTAGATAAACATTTTAAAACCTTAAAGGTGGAACAAGAATCTAATAAACAATTGTTTGTATCATAGTGCACTATAAGGTGGAACTCTAATAATAAACAATTGTTTGTATCATAGTGCACTATAAGGGACTATAAACAACAGATCAAGTTCACTCATCAGTCAAAAATCCTGATTATAACTGTTACAAAATGACAAGTTAAAGCAAAAGAAGTCCGTGTCAGACAGTACGATTACGTTAACATGGATTGGTTACATCAGGTAACCATGGCTACATATGGTAATCATGGCTACATATGGTAATCATGGCTACATATGGTAACCATGGCTACATATGGTAATCATGGCTACATCAGGTAATCATGGCTACATCAGGTAACCATGGCTACATATGGTAATCATGGCTACATATGGTAACCATGGCTACATATGGTAACCATGGCTACATATGGTAACCATGGTTACATCTGGTAATCATGGCTACATCTGGTTACCAAAAAGAGTGATATTTTTACCATTAACGCTGACACTGACGGGCGGTTGTAGAACAGTCTTCTTCTGCTCTTCCTCGCCGGTTGCTTCTGATTCGCTCTTCGATCTGATCTTGCGAGCCTGGAGAGCTTCACAGCGGGTCATCAAAATCTCCAGAGCATCTAGGATGGAGGTAAGCCTTTCAGCTCTACTTTAACTATATTATTGAAGCTTTTTTATATTATTCGACAGTACCAAAGCACAAGGATGGCCACGAGAAGCGCCAGCGAGCTAAGAGCGAAGGGTTTACCTTTAGGTGACGGCATCTCTATATCTTCCTTACCTTTGGGTGGCGGCATTTCTATATCTTCCGTGTACTGAACTTTGGATTTGAACACCGTTTCCCGGTAGTGCTTTAATTCTTCGATACTTGATCTAATATCGTCAAGGGCTCTGAATGGGGTAACTTTAAAATTGTAACTTATTTGAATTTAATTTTCGGTCATTAGGAAAAACAAGTGAACAACATAGGACAAAATGAAAATTAACGAAGAGCGGTGTGACTTGTTAAAACATACCTGTGTGAGACAGGCTGGTTACTGTAATACTTCGCAAAGTTAGGATACCACCTCCTGAAACAAAACATAGTAAATGCCTTTATAAATAAACTAACGCAAATGGGTCGTAACAATCACCCAGTTTTTATAGTAAACGGATCACCATTTTCAGTGTTTGGTGAGAAAAGGGTGTTCATCTCAAGCAATTTAGTACTATGTTTACAATGCACTACTTAAGGGTACGTTAAGAAGATTCTAGATCAACCACATCTTCTCCGATCATTCCACTGAATCGACTGAGGAGTTTGGGGGGGGGGGGGGGGGGGGGGGGGGGGGGGGGGGGCGGAGTTAGTACTTTGTGTAGAAGTCTAGCAGGTCTCTTCACGCCGCGCAAATTCTTGTATTTTATATCACAGTGCTGGCAAGCATGACCGTGGCTTTTATACATGATATATATATATATATATAATTGTGGGTGGCGTCGTCTGCTGACAGTGCTCAATCGGCAGGCCGAGAGCTAGATACAAATTGAAACGACCGGTTGAGTCAGACAAATGTTTCAATCATGATACAAAACCATGATATCATCAGTGACAACCAAACAAACCATGATATCATCAGTTGTCTACTTTTCCAGTGACAGCTTTTTTCAGGTCGATTTCGACACTAATTGTAAATTTAATGAAAGGTTTACTTAAAAATATGATCCAAATAAAGCACAAGGGGCCGACAGTATCCATGGACAAATTTTAAAGAACTGTTCAGTGAGCCTGTCTAAGCCTCTTATAAAACAGGGTGTATTTCAGCAGATTGGAAGATGGCAAACGTTGTTCCAGTTCATAAAAAAGGCTCTAAAACTGAAGTTAACAACTATAGGCCAATTTCTCTGACAAGTATTATTATGAAAATTTACGAAAAAGTAATCCGGGATGAATTGCTCAATCGATGTGAAAATCTTATCAATCCACGTCAACATGGGTTAGTGAGTAGAAAATCCTGTACAACTCAGCTAGTAAATTTCTGTGACAGCTTAGCCCTATCTCTCAATGACAATGTTCGCACTGACATAATTTACTTTGATTTCCAAAAAGCTTTTGATTCTGTAAACCACGACATAATTCTGTTGAAGCTCAAAGAACAATATAACATTGATGCATCTCTACTGAGATTCTTCAAGTGCTACCTTGAAAACAGATACCAAAGGGTTTTCATTGGAAATAAAATGTCTACTCCCTGTCAGGTAAGATCAGGTGTTCCCCAGGGCTCAATTTAATTGAACGTTTTCGTAATATCTTTAAATTGACTATATCTAAATATCAAATTAATAAAATATGTTTAATAAATTGTGTTTATAATTTTGGTACATTGTTATTATATTTATATTTTAGGCTGTAACCTTATTAGTCCAATGGAATAAACCTAGCATGCCTTGGTTGCAGCATCGCTTCATTTATAGGTGCATATAGGGCCTGATGTAATTGCTAATACCAGTTTACTGGTCAACTGGTGTTTCGGTGTCCCTAATTTTGTTTACACTCGGTCACTTGTCAAGGCATGTAAGGTCATTCGGCGAATTTTCTTTGAAATAAAATGCATCTGTGTAACAATTTGAAAGTTTATTGATTTCAAAAAACAAAACTTTTGGACGGGGTTCACACTGCATCCGGGGTGCACACTGCTTCCGGGGTGCACACTGCATCCGGGGTGCACACTGCATCCGGGGTGCACACTGCATCCGGGGTGCACACTGCATCCGGGGTGCACACTGCATCCGGGGTGCACACTGCATCCGGGGTGCACACTGCACACGGGGTGCACACTGCATCCCCACGTGGGCGGTCATGAAGAGAAAGCTCGTTACGTGGTTAATAGTATTCTGTGAATGTCTATTTTATCGCATCATCCCAACCTAAGCTACAAATGAATTCAACATGTCGATTGTCGCTCCAAGAATTTTTGCACACTGTTACTACGCAACTTCTTTTAGGAGTACAGTTACAACACAACTATATGCCCCCCCCCCCCCCCCCCTTACAACACAACTCCTATTTCTCGACAAATTTGCACGTGCGCGTGAGTGGTTTACTCATATCAGATTGCCCTGGATGAATAGAATAAAACCAAATAGCAAAGAACCAACCAAAGGTAAGGCAACTAACCAAGCGATGTTGCGGACAGTGGACACGTCTATAAAGGTAAGGCAACTAACCAAGCGATGTTGCGGACAGTGGACACGTCTATAAAGGTAAGGCAACTAACCAAGCGATGTTGCGGACAGTGGACACGTCTATAAAGGTAAGGCAACTAACCAAGCGATGTTGCGGACAGTGGACACGTCTATAAAGGTAAGGCAACTAACCAAGCGATGTTGCGGACAGTGGACACGTCTATAAAGGTAAACTAACCAAGCGATGTTGCGGACAGTGGACACGTCTATAAAGGTAAGGCAACTAACCAAGCGATGTTGCGGACAGTGGACACGTCTATAATCCTGTAGTGAAGACATTCTAAGAATTTGGGCATTTCCTTTTCGATAAACTTGCGGTCAGTGTGGATAGAGTTACCGGCCAGCTCGCACCGACCTGAAAACGGTGTGTTACATTAATATTATTAGTAGGATTGACTCCACTATATCACTAGGAGAGCTAGTAGTGACTCCACTATGTCACTAGGAGAGCTAGTAGTGACTCCACTATATCACTAGGAGAGCTAGTAGTGACTCCACTATATCACTAGGAGAGCTAGTAGTGACTCCACTATATCACTAGGAGAGCTAGTAGTGACTCCACTATATCACTAGGAGAGCTAGTAGTGACTCCACTATATATCACTAGGAGAGCTAGTAGTGACTCCACTATATCACTAGGACAGCTAGTAGTGACTCCACTATATCACTAGGAGAGCTAGTAGTGACTCCACTATATCACTAGGAGAGCTAGTAGTGACTCCACTATATCACTAGGAGAGCTAGTAGTGACTCCACTATGTCACTAGGAGAGCTAGTAGTGACTCCACTATATCACTAGGAGAGCTAGTAGTGACTCCACTATATCACTAGGAGAGCTAGTAGTGACTCCACTATATCACTAGGAGAGCTAGTAGTGACTCCACTATATCAAATCTGACAATACCTTATTTTTACATTAATTGTTAAATTAATTTGGGCACTAAATTGGGGGGGGGGGGGGGGGGGGGGGGGGAGTCATGAGTATTTTTGAATATGAGAATTTGACCATTTTCGCCGGGAATACTCAACAATTATTTTTGAATCTGAGAAATTCGGGATGGATTTCTCATTTTCTCAAAAATTGTCCACTCAAAAATCATTTTTGAATCTGAAAAATTCAGCATGGATTTCTCATTTTTTTCAAAAATTGTCCACTCAAAAATAGTGATATACCAAATCATTCTTCATATCAGTGCAATGTGGTCCAAAAATACTCAAAATCAATTTTTGAGAATGAGTTTTCGCCTCTCCTGGAAACTTTTCTCAAAAATACTCAAAAATAATTTTAGAGAATGAGAATTTGGCATTTTCGTCGGGACTCTCAAAAATAGTCATGACCAAACCCCCCCCCCCCCCCCCCCCCCCCCCCCCCCCTTAACATCTCACCAAACAGTAACTACAGACCGTATATGGCCCCCCCCCCCCCCCCCCTTACAAACAGTAACTACAGACCGTATATGCCCCCCCCCCCCCCCCCCCCCCCCCCCCCCCCCCCCCTTAACATCATCACCAAACAGTAACTACAGACCGTATATGGCCTTTTTGGTAGACTTGCCTTTGGGACAGTACTGCAATATAAAGTCGATCATCTGCTGCTCGACCTGCGCACAAGACAGCTTGCTGTCACGACACTGTTGAGTGAGACCCGTCTTACCGTGCTGTATTGTGCACCACTCGCCCATTCCTTCTAATGCTTCTTCCGACTGAGGAGACACTTACTCATACAACTACTTCCAACAACGAAACATAATAAATTCGACTAGTGTCCAAATTTGAAATTTAAAAAAATATTGACGAAGGAACAAATTAGATGCAATCGGTTTAAAGATAATAATAGCCTACAAAAGGAAACAGAATAATAATAATAAATCTAAATTCAATATAACACCGCTTTTAAGATAAAACTTATACTCAGCAGTGTTTAAACTAGTCATCCAAGAAAATAACATGAATACTAAGTTAAGATGATATTAACGATGATGTTATTGGATTTTTGTTGTTGTTGTAAATTGTCTTTTCTAATAAAAATAATGATATTAGAGGTTCTAGAGGTGTATCATTTAAAATGGTTTAAAACCAGTCAAATATCCAATTTGGATGATTTAGAGTTTAATTCTTTCGAATCGACAGCTAATTGATTATTTTTTCAGTCGTATCGACTGTTTGCTCGTTTTCAGATAATATTATTTTTATTATGTTAATTGTAATGCTATTTTGTATATATATATGACGTATATTTAAAATCGGTTTAAAGATGCTTCTTAGGTCTTACATTTTAAGCAAAATTTCTTTTCTTGCAAAATCGTTCTAAAACTAATTTTTTTACAATTTTGCAAAAAATTTTCTTCGAAAAATGTCAAAATTTTCCATATCAAACGAGGAGAAAGTAGACATCGTCAAGCTTTTCTAATTTCTATGTCAACGGAAGCAGTTGGACGGCTGCCAGGAAGACCTCACCTACTTGGTGTATGACGAGATTTGGTCCTTCCGCAATGATATTGAGATTCCTATCCGTCACTATACAAGCCATCTCCATTATACGGTCCTTCTCAACGTCCAGACCAGTCATCTCTAGATCAACCCAAATAATGTTGCTGCTTCTGAAAATATAGAAATACTAGTGTAAACCGTGCCTTCACTATCGCAGTTGAATTGCAAAAGTATAAACGGTGCAATAGCATGAACTCGCCCAGTCGAAACCGGCCGCATTAAAGTCAATTTAATTCTGAGCGCCCAACACGTATCCAATAGTAATACTCTCGCGGCTCCTTGCTCCACTGCCAAATTACCTAATTATATACCAGAACTGTAATTAGGGGAGCTGTAAATGGGGAGAGAGAGAGAGAGAGAGATAGAGAGAGAGAGAGTGTGTGTGAGACATTTTAGTACCACATTTGGGGTTAGAAAAGCTTCGCTTATTGGCTTCGTCAGAGTTTTGTCTAACTATACCGAAAAGAACCAGTCCATAACTCTAACCGTTTTCTTGATTAAGCCGCTCGGGAATTACATGCGCACACACAGACGGACATTTTGGGATTATGAGTATACATGTATAGTAGTATACATGGCATAGATGTAGAACAGTCATGTAGGGATCATTCTCGATTAAAAATAATAAATCTCTTTCCAAATTACCTGATAACAACATTTTTGGGAAATGCAACTTCAAGAGCTTGCTCAACTAGACTTTCCCTGCCACACTTCCTCCTTTTGGCCGGCGGAGTCGGGACTGTCACAGGAAGTTCCACTTGATCTGTCACTTCACCTGGGCACACAGCATCAGCTAATCCTCCTTGACAGGTGAGTAATAGTACTAAAGTAGTAGAATAGTAAATAACGTTACGCCACTGTAACGGTGGTGCTAGTTTAATCACACTCTATAATCTAAAATCTATAATCTTTTCTCACCATCTTCTAGGTTTTCAGAAAGTACTGTACTATCAACTTTCGCCCCAGGGTTAGTCCCGTCCTCGTTATCGTTAATAGCTGTCATTCATTCAACTAACTAAGGTTTAATAATGACAGTTGATCGTTGCAATTAAACAAATTTCGGTAAGTGAAAGATTGGTGGACCAATGGTGGTAACATACTATTATGTAGAAAATATACCCCTCCCAGCTATACTATACTGGAGTAATATCTTAAATAATAATCTCAGAACGGGTTACACTAGTATTATATAATATTATATGTAGAAAAGGAGCTTTGTTTTGGCTTATAAAAAGAGCGCGCAACTGGCCAGAAATAAGGTCTACATTGCGCCAAAAAGGGAACTTTTGACAGATCGGAAATGCTAGTAATAGTTGCAGAAGACGTTTCCTCGAAATGTGTCTGCGATTTTGTATGCGATTTTGCGCGCCGCACATATGTTACAATATTTATCATTGTAGAATTTACGACGGAGGGCCTTCAGAAGTCAAAATAAACTGCTCGTATATTTATAGACACTATGATATGAATAACTAAGTAACACCTTCTCCGTAATGTCACCTACAGCCTACTAATTCATATCCATCGAACCAGAACACATCCCTGGGCCTGAAAATGTCAAAAATAGGTTTAAGTGTAACAGTTGGCATGACAACTAAAATCCAAACAATTCAAAACAGAACTGATTAAAAAGCAGCTCTGCATTTATATAGGTTGACCTGAGAACACTGGCAATGGCTGTCATGTGCAGACAAGTTGCCAGTCGATATTAATCAGCAATCAGCATACTAGTCTCCTGACTAAAATGTGCTAAAATTATGAAATATTTTGTCAGATCAGAATGTAAAGAATTTTATGTAGACTCAAAGAGTAAAAGATATTTCTGAATTAGTGGCCATTTTATTTACTACTTAGTTTGTTTGCAACACTACTACACTACTACACTACTACACTACTACACTACTACACTACTACACTACTACACTACTACATTATTAAACTACCACACTACTACACTACTACACTACTACACTACCACACTACTACACTACCACACTACTACACTACTACACTACCACACTACCACACTACCACACTACTACACTACTACACTACTACACTACCACACTACCACACTACTACACTACCACACTACTATACTACTACACTACCACACTACTACACTACTACACTACCACACTACTACACTACTACACTACTACACTACTACACTACTACACTACCACACTATTACACTATTACACTACCACACTACTACACTACTACACTACTATACTACTACACTACCACACTACTACACTACTACACTACCACACTACTACACTACTACACTACTACACTACTACACTACCACACTATTACACTATTACACTACTACACTATTACACTATTACACTATTAAACTACCACACTACCACACTACCACACTACTACACTACTACACTACTACACTACTACACTACTACACTACTACACTACTACACTACTACACTACTACACTACTACACTACTACACTACTACACTACTACACTACTACACTACCACACTATTACACTATTACACTACCACACTACTACACTACTACACTACTACACTACTACACTACTACACTACTACACTAATACACTACTACACTACTACACACTGTATATTATACACTGGTCAGGAAGAGTCCTCCTATTATTATTATTTCTCTTAGCTGAGATTAAAAAGACAATTATTCAAGGGCCATTCATGGAGAACGAATTGAAGGGTACTATACAGAGGTTAACAAGACAATTAGTCAAGGGGCAGTCTTGCAGAACGAATTGAAGGGTATAGAGGTTAAGGGGGCATGAAATTTTTCTCAAAATTGATTTTATAGTTGTTTCTGATAGAGGGGAGTGATATCTATCAGCTGCTTTTGGTCCCATGGAAAAATATTATTCCTAGCCGAAGTTATCGCCGGTCAAAGGTCAGCGCTCATGCGTAATTGTATTGCGCGAGTGATTTTCAATCGCGTCTTGAAAATCGAGTCTAAAAATCTATCTTCTCCTACATTTTTTGAGCAATCACCTTGAAACTTTCAGGATATTATGTTCTAAGGACCATTTCGAAGATTCTGTTCGATCATAATTTTAAGATAGACCTTAGAACTTTAGAAAATTTTGAAATTCGATTTTGAAAATCTTGGACCTCATTTTTTGACGATTTTTCCAGGTTCAAGATTTTCAAAATCCTAACTTCGGCTAGAGACAATATTTTTCCATGGGACCAGAAGCAGCTGATAGATATCACTCCTCTCTATCAGAAACAACTATAAAATCAATTTCGAGAGAAATTTCATAAAGACCCCCCTGCCCCCTTAACAAGACAATTAGTCAAGGAACAGTCTTGCAGAAGGAATTGGTTTTTTGGCAGTTTATCTTTAAATACGTATAATTGTAGTGTATGGTAGTGTACTCTGTGTTGATGTATAGTAGTGTATAGTAGTGTATGGTAGTGTATAGTAGTGTATGGTAGTGTACTCTGTGTTGATGTATAGTAGTGTATAGTAGTGTATGGTAGTGTATAGTAGTGTATGGTAGTGTACTCTGTGTTGATGTATAGTCGTGTATAGTAGTGTATAGTAGTGTACTCTGTGTTGATGTATAGTAGTGTATGGTAGTGTACTCTGTGTTGATGTATAACTCCAGTTGTTGGGCTGCACATAAGGCTGTCTTGGAGAAGTTGGATGTTGTACACAGGCGTCATTTAAGATCAATATTGAATTATAAGTACCCGGGGGTAATTTCTAATATCAATCTGTATAAAAGCTGCAACAGTGAACCACTGTCAGCTGTATATACATACTATACGTATATATATATATATAGTATATACACGTATAATTGTCAGTAAATGTGAGTTCCAGTGACCCTACACCGAGAGAGTCAGTATTAAGCTACCACACTACTACACCGAGAGAGTCAGTATTAAGAGCTGACAGTGGAAGGGATTCTGTCGAGCAGATTCTGCTAGACTACATGTGTTACCATGGCAACATGTAACATGTGTTACCATGGCAACATGAAACATGTGTTACCATGGCAACATGTAACATGTGTTACCATGGCAACATGTAACATGTGTTACCATGGCAACATGAAACATGTGTTACCATGGCAACATGTAACATGTGTTACCATGGCAACATGTAACATGTGTTACCATGGCAACATGTAACATGTGTTACCATGGCAACATGTAACATGTGTTACCATGGCAACATGTAACATGTGTTACCATGGCAACATGTAACATGTGTTACCATGGCAACATGTAACATGTGTTACCATGGCAACATGTAACATGTGTTACCATGGCAACATGTAACATGTGTTACCATGGCAACATGTAACATGTGTTACCATGGCAACATGTAACATGTGTTACCATGGCAACATGTAACATGTGTTACCATGGCAACATGTAACATGTGTTACCATGGCAACATGTAACATGTGTTACCATGGCAACATGTAACATGTGTTACCATGGCAACATGTAACATGTGTTACCATGGCAACATGTAACATGTGTTACCATGGCAACATGTAACATGTGTTACCATGGCAACATGTAACATGTGTTACCATGGCAACATGTAACATGTGTTACCATGGCAACATGTAACATGTGTTACCATGGCAACATGTTGTGCATGTGTATTCTTTCCCCGAACTTGAACTCCGCGGTAAAACGAGGTTATATTGTTTACATTATAATATTATATGAATAATAAATAATAATATAACTATGACTTTATATGGGAGACAAAATTCAGGCCTATAAATTGGTACGCTCGTATCTTCTAAATAAATAATTATAAAATTGAAATACAAGAATACAGTATCATTGCACAATTTTTATAAACTTCAAGTCTGGAAAAATAGAGAAACTAAATCCTTGATAAAAAGATGAAATCACAAATACATTTGATATGAAGAGAAGATGAAGAAGAAAGCGCACTGTGTCCCGGTCAACACCGGCTCAATAATAAAATTATCAGCTAAAACTCTCAAAACGTAATTTAGTAGTAAGTAGCTCCGTAGGGGTCATGTGCTGGATAGGGAGCCCCCCCTGCCCCCCCGCTGTAGGGAGCACGGGTCTCCGGCCGCCTTGGTCTGGGAGGTGGCGCAGCGTAATCTCGCGCATAGTAAGGGTCACGTGCGTAAGGTTCGGGCGGATAATATGGAGCAGGTGGCGGTGCCTCCCTTGCGTAATACGGGTCTCGTGCATACGGGCTGGCGTAATACGGGTCACGTGCATATGGGTCACGTGCATACGGGTCACGTGCAGGAGGTCTCCGTCGTCCGTAAGGGTTGTGTGCGGGGTACGGGGCCTGCCTGCAAGGTCCTAGCTTTATAATTCCATCATTTCCTTCATCAATAATCAAATACAGTGAAACTTACATCTCCAGAACAGGTGAAGTCCTTTAAATTTAAATGATTAGAGTCTACAATGTCGACTTAACATGTTGGGGGGGGGGGGGGGTGACAACCTCATAAATATATAAATTATAATGTACATAAATACCTATACCTATTTTGGAAGAGCAGAAGATTGTGAGCAACATTGATTTCTTTAAATTTTAGGATAAAATTTCATGACAAGATTTTTACTATTCAAAATTTTCGATTAAACAAATTTTTTCGGAAATATTTGTAATTATTGTTCAAATGGTCAGAAACTTCTATATAAGCAACCTTTTGATAGTCTGAACTGTTCATAATCTTTTGATCAAATTAAAAACCCTATACAACCCAAGTTTAAGGTACACAAAGGCAACAAATCAAATTTTTCCCAGCCCCAAACAATTGGTTTTAAAACTTGATATCAACCCCCTCATGCAGTAAAAACACTTTAAAACACTACGAATATAATTGAATATTATATGATGTTAAAAGTGGGAAAATACTGAAAAAACAACAAAACCTTTAAATAATCATAAATTTACATAAATACCTATACCTATTTTGAAATCGGAGGGAATAATAGGTGTTTACGAGGTTGCCCCCCCCCCCCCCTCTTCCCATGTTGTGTATAACAATAAAGATCTCCGTTAATTAACAGTACAGTTATTATTATGTTAATATAACTACAATTAATAGTTCTGGTGGCCCAGAAGTAACTACCCACACGCAACCCTTTAATAACTCACGAAATTCGTATCAGAATTGCTTAAAAATTTCAGAGAATATAGATATGGGTCAAACTTTCCTGAAAATTTCCTGAAAATTTCGTAAAGTTTCATCAATTACATCTTTTTCTTCATTGTCACCATGAACTCATGAAGTGAGAACGTTTTGAGTTAAGAACTCCACAATTTCCAGAAACACTTGGTTTGATAATTAAAGTGCTTTCTCAAACTTTCAAGTTGGTTGTTTACAACTAAGCCGAGTTATGACTTTATGACCCTTTTAAGATATTGCAGATACGTGATCTCGGCACTTAATCACATATCAGTGATTTTGTCACCCAATCAGTGATCTCATCGAGAGTTATTCACTAGGGCACTAGCGGGCAACAATAAGACTCATTAGGCGGTACCGAGCATGTTGGGGGATCACGATCTGATCACTTTAAGTGAATACTGATTGTGACTTGCCTTAAAATCAAAGAAATTTGCGTTATAGCGCTTCAGTTGCTGTCCTATGAGCAGTTTCCAACCAATCAGGGCATTGATTGAGTGAAGAAATCACATATTAAGTGCCGGGATCATGTATCCGTCAGATCTTAAAATGGTCATAACTCGGCTTAGTTGTAAACAACCACCTTGGAATTTTGAGAATTTAGCACTTTAATTATCAAACCAAGTGTATCTGGAAATTGTGGAGTTCTTAACTCGAATCTTTCTCACTTTATGGTGACAATCAAGAAAATGAGGGAGTGGCGTGCCACACCCTCTGTAATCGATGAAATTTTACGAAATTTTCAGGAAATCTAAGTTTGACCCATATCTATATTCTCTAAAATTTGTAAGTAATTCTGATACGAATAACGTGAGTTATTTAAGGGTTGCGTGTGGGTAGTTACTTCTGGGCCACCCTCTATAATATATTATATAATATACTATTATTGACTGTAACACCATACTAACCTGACTGGTGGAGCCGAATGATAACCATGGTTACCACCTCGTGGTACAGTTCTTTTATCCCTCATTTCATTAACTGAAAATTACTTATTACAATGAGAGTTGTTATTGGAGTTATATTGGAGACACGAGGGGTTATCTTAATTAATATAACTTTTTACTTTAATAAAACACAAAATTCCACTAACCCCTGTTCCTGCGCCCCTCCCTTCTCCCTTTAGTAATCTGAACCCTAACACTCCCACCGAACAGTTCTGTATCATTAGTCTCCTCTACTGCCTTGTTAGCCGCTCCTTCCGTGTCAAACTCTACAAAAGCAAAGCCCGGAGGATTATGTGCTATCCACACGTCCGTAACATTTCCAAACTTCTCATACACGCTGCGGACATCCTCCTTTTCTACTGCGTTCTTAATATTTCCAATAAACAGTCTGAGAAGTTACATAATGAGGTGAAGTGGAGTAACATTAAGAAGTGAGGTGGAGTAACATTATGAGGTGAGGTGGAGTAACATTATGAGGTGAGGTGGAGTAACATTATGAGGTGAGGTGGAGTAACATTAAGAAGTGAGGTGGAGTAACATTATGAGGTGAAGTGGAGTAACATTATGAGGTGAGGTGGAGTAACATTATGAGGTGAGGTGGAGTAACATTATGAGGTGAGGTGGAGTAACATTATGAGGTGAGGTGGAGTAACATTATGAGGTGAGGTGGAGTAACATTATGAGGTGAGGTGGAGTAACATTATGATGTGAGGTGGAGTAACATTATGAGGTGAGGTGGAGTAACATTATGAGGTGAGGTGGAGTAACATTATGAGGTGAGGTGGAGTAACATTATGAGGTGAGGTGGAGTAACATTATGAGGTGAGGTGGAGTAACATTATGAGGTGAGGTGGAGTAACATTATGAGGTGAGGTGGAGTAACATTATGAGGTGAGGTGGAGTAACATTATGAAGTGAGGTGGAGTAACATTATGTGGTGAGGTGGAGTAACATTATGAGGTGAGGTGGAGTAACATTATGAAGTTATGAGGTGAGGTGGAGTAACATTATGAGGCTCTCGCAAGTCGCAATACAATTACTCATAAGCACTAACCTATGACCGGCGATAATTTCGACTAGGAACAGTATTTTATATGGGATCAAAAGCATCTGATAGATTTCACCCCCCTCTTTAAGAAACAACTGAAAAGTCGATTTTGAGAAAATGTTCACATGAAGACCCCCTTCCCCCTTAATATGGTTTATCGAACCTTGGTTTGCCCGAATCTTGCACTTCGTGTTCCTTTTTCAAATCATCCTTTTTTTTGGTGAATTCGACTCTAATTTCACTTCCAAAACAATCTTTCTTGTGTTTAGTCTCTAGTGCAGCGGCAGCTGCTTCCACAGTTGCAAATTCTAAAAATGCGAATCCTGGAGGATCGTACGCTATCCACATGTCGGTTATTTCTCCAAATTCTTTAAATTCTTCCATGAGCTCCTCTTTCTCAACATTCCTCTTGAGCCCTCCAATGAAGAGACGAGGAGAGGGGCTGCCTGACATCTCTGCTAATGCAGGGTTTTTATAGGTTATATTATATTTTCTAGTGATTCCATATTGTATTGCGACAAGGGAAAATGCTCTTTTCAGGTAAAGGAAAGTAGATCCCGTCCCGTCCCGTACCGTTCCGTACCGTTCCGTACCGTCCCGTACCGTCCCGTCCGGGGGGAGGGGGGGGGGGGGGGGGGGCGGGGGGTACCAACGGACATTAATGTGCATTAATGTGCATTAATGGGCATTAATGTGCATTAATGGGCATTAATGGCAATGGCAGTCTGAGCAAAATTTTAAAATACTAAAATACTGCCATTAATGCCCATACTTTTTTCCCATTTTTGCCCATTTTTCTATTAAATGTGGGCATTAATGTGCATTAATGGGCATTAATGTGCATTAATGGGCATTAATGTGCATCAATGGGCATTAATGGGCATTAATGACAATGGCAGTCTGAGCAAAATTTTAAAATACTGCCATTAGTGTCCGTCGGTACCCCCGTCCCGTCCTGTCCTTTTTGGATTCTGAGACAAGCGGACATAGACTGATAGACGGACGTTTCACCCCCCCCCCCCCCCCCCCCCCTATATATATAACAAATAATTTGAGATCATGAATACGATGTTGTCACATTGAAACGTTGAATAATTCCTTTCCTGATAAGAGCCTTTTCCTTGTCGCACCAAACGGGATCAATAGAAATTTACCCAAGAAAACATAAATTTCAATATAAAAAATGTCTGATTCCACAATGACAAAAAATACATAGAAGTTATTATGATATCTAAAATAATATTAATTGTTAAAGATAAATCCGATAGACAGCTTACAGCTGAGCTGATGCAGTAAACAATTTAGAAAATTTAACCAACACATTTCTGAAGAAAATAGAGATTTTAACTACTACTATACTGAAAATATCGGCCATGTAAACGAATCAGTTACTAAGTCCAGAATTTTTGATCCGCAGTAACAAATTTATGATGTCAGGTCCTAACACTGACTAAGTCAAGGAGTCGGTACCTTATAAAATTAGAAATTTTGAAGGCAAAAACGGCGATAAATTGAATTGTCAGTAATATTCTTCAGAGTACGGAATCTGAGTAGAAGAAGCGGTAGGTGGAAGAGGGCCGCGCGCCCGAACGCCCCTTCCCCGTCTCCTTACAGGTACAGGGTGCTCTGTTGACCGCATGTTTAGTGGATCCGGCCGATAATATGGTTGGTCGTAATAATAAGGGTCCTGAGGTGCCGCAGCTGGCTCTGCCGCATAATATGGGTCCGCGTATTCCTGCCCAGCGGCGTAGTACGGATCGTCGTAATACGGATCCTGGTGGTAAGTGTACCGGCGTACGGGTCGATGCGGAGCCGCAGGTCGCGCAGCTCTGCCGCGTAACGATCGGAATGGTGGCGGCCTCCTGTGAGGTAAGGTCCAGTAAAATATTTCGCAATTTCATCCATCAGGCAAAAATCGTAATGCATCTGTAAATTTATTGTGGTAAGGTGATCGATTTTGATTTTCACCGTAGAAAATATTTAAGATAACAGCAACAAAATGCTCTTACCTGGCAGCAACAGGCCCCGTACGCGCATAGGGGTGAGATTGTGCAGAGTGGTAGGGTCTCTTGGGGGGATACTCGTCCTCTCCTTTTCTCTTAGAATTAGTGAGGTCTACTTTCAGTTTCCCTCCAAACACCTCCCTATCATGCACCCCCTTTATTGCTTTCTGAGCAGACTCCATGTCTTTAAACTGTACAAAAGCAAACCCAGGAGGATTGTACGCCACCCAGATGTCTACTATTTCACCGTAGGGTTCGAATATCGGCTTCAGATCTGTTTTCTCGATTTCTTCTTTGATATTTCCCACAAATAGCCTGAGTATTAAAATATTCTAGAGTTCAATGTAATAGTGGGGGCAGGGGCCAGGGGGTGACATGTAATAGTAGGCTAGGGGTGACATGTAATAGTAGGGGGTGACATGTAATAGTAGGGGGTGACATGTAATTGTAGGGGGTGACATGTAATAGTAGGGGGTGACACACATTCTCAAATAGAATATATATGATATTTAATTCACATAATTTACATTTTGTTGCCTTAAAGCATCGTGTCCAGATAAACATTATAATATATAAAAATTATACATGACTATGTTTTCACGTGTGTTTTCACGACAATGCAAGTATCCTTTCGCAGCAGCAATGTGCGCCACCATGGTTTGAGACCACTGACCGTGGTTTGGGACCGTGGTTTGGGATCATGGTTTGGGACCGTGGTTTGGGACCGTGGTTTGAGACCGTGGTTTGAGACCGCCGCCACGGTATTTTGTGAAATTGAACCACCGTTTTAAAACTGATTATGACGTATGCAATAAATTAGTCCATTAGAGACACTTATGAGGAGGTTTCAATCAATTTTAGGCATTTTAACCACCGCCTCTAGAATTGTACATGACGCACAGTAATGAATCACAGACCTGGGTTCAGTTGAAGGACGTCCAGATCTTCCTCCTCTAGAACCACGTCTGGAGTCGTCTCGTCCACCAGACTCTGGATTCAGAAGTGATAAGCACAGCGTTACCATGACTACATTGAGTACATAAGCACTGCAACCATGGTAACTAACCATGCAATGGTGAACAGCTTACGTTTGTCCCTTGCACGCTTGCTGACTGCTTACAAAGTTACAATAGATATTATAATTATAATTCGAAAGATTATCTATGTCTGTCTGTCTGTCTGTCTGTCTGTCTGTCTGTCTGTCTGTCTGTCTGTCTGTCTGTCTGTCTGTCTGTCTGTCTGTCTGTCTGTCTGTCTGTCTGTCTGTCTGTCTGTCTGTCTGTCTGTACGACCGTCCACGTGCAAATTTGACGAGAAATAGGAAGCTGCATAGTAACCATGGTAACGGTGTTCAAAAGCTCACGTGCATGTGCAAAGATTTGCGAGCGATATTTTTATCGATTTTGTTGTGGTAATTACGTTGTGTTTGGTGCAAGCAACATTTCAATCGGCTGCATCTTCGGTTGTGACGGATAAAAACAGACTACCAAAGAATACTATTACCTTCCTCCCTGTGACCACGGGCTTTCTAGTCAGTATATAATATAAACACAGCAAGCAAAGGTGTATATTTCAGATAGACACCGCGGAGCGATTTCTTTCTCATAGACAAGTTGAGAGGGGGGGGGGGGGGGGGCAAGTTACCTGGTTACCTCCGGTTATCCGGTTATCTGGTTATCTGGTTACCTGGTTACCTGGTTATCTGGTTATCTGGTTATCTGGTTACCTGGTTATCTGGTTATCTGGTTACCCGGTTACCTAGTTATCTGGTTATCTGGTTATCTGGTTATCTGGTTATCTGGTTATCTGGTTATCTGGTTACCCGGTTACCTGGTTATCTGGTTATCTGGTTACCTCCGGTTATCTGGTTACCTGGTTACCTGGTTACCTGGTTACCTGGTTAACTGGTTACCCGGTTACCTGGTTAAACTCACTTTGTTCAGGTTTCTTTCTGGCTGTTATCTCGACCTTGAGAGAATCACTGAAATCTTGGGTTGTCCCGTTTATCTCTTCCACCGCTTTTTTAGCAGCCACTTCTTCCTCGTACTCCAAGAAACAATACCTGGGTGTGACGTGTAAAAGTATATTATCAGTAGTATAATAAATTAGTATAGCTGTAGCACGTTCTTAATAATATAATCAGTACTAGTATAATATTAGTATAGCTTTACTCTGTAGTCTGTATGATGTACTAGTATAATATTAGTATAGCTTTACTCTGTAGTCTGTATGATGTATTAGTATAGCTTTACTCTGTAGTCTGTATGATGTACTAGTATAGCTTTACTCTGTAGTCTGTATGATGTACTAGTATAGCTTTACTCTGTAGTCTGTATGATGTACTAGTATAGCTTTACTCTGTAGTCTGTATGATGTACTAGTATAGCTTTACTCTGTAGTCTGTATGATGTACTAGTATAGCTTTACTCTGTAGTCTGTATGATGTACTAGTATAGCTTTACTCTGTAGTCTGTATGATGTACTAGTATAGCTTTACTCTGTAGTCTGTATGATGTACTAGTTATAATATTAGTTTAGCTTTACTCTGTAGTCTGTATGATGTACTAGTATAATATTAGTATAGCTTTACTCTGTAGTCTGTATGATGTACTAGTATAATATTAGTATAGCTTTACTCTGTAGTCTGTATGATGTATTAGTATAGCTTTACTCTGTAGTCTGTATGATGTACTAGTATAGCTTTACTCTGTAGTCTGTATGATGTACTAGTATAGCTTTACTCTGTAGTCTGTATGATGTACTAGTATAATATTAGTTTAGCTTTACTCTGTAGTCTGTATGATGTACTAGTATAGCTTTACTCTGTAGTCTGTATGATGTACTAGTATAGCTTTACTCTGTAGTCTGTATGATGTACTAGTATAGCTTTACTCTGTAGTCTGTATGATGTACTAGTATAGCTTTACTCTGTAGTCTGTATGATGTACTAGTATAATATTAGTATAGCTTTACTCTGTAGTCTGTATGATGTACTAGTATAATATTAGTATAGCTTTACTCTGTAGTCTGTATGATGTACTAGTATAATATTAGTATAGCTTTACTCTGTAGTCTGTATGATGTACTAGTATAATATTAGTTTAGCTTTACTCTGTAGTCTGTATGATGTACTAGTTATAATATTAGTATAGCTTTACTCTGTAGTCTGTATGATGTATTAGTTATAATATTAGTATAGCTTTACTCTGTAGTCTGTATGATGTACTAGTATAATATTAGTATAGCTTTACTCTGTAGTCTGTATGATGTACTAGTATAATATTAGTTTAGCTTTACTCTGTAGTCTGTATGATGTACTAGTATAATATTAGTTTAGCTTTACTCTGTAGTCTGTATGATGTACTAGTATAATATTAGTTTAGCTTTACTCTGTAGTCTGTATGATGTACTAGTATAATATTAGTTTAGCTTTACTCTGTAGTCTGTATGATGTACTAGTATAATATTAGTTTAGCTTTACTCTGTAGTCTGTATGATGTATTAGTTATAATATTAGTTTAGCTTTACTCTGTAGTCTGTATGATGTACTAGTATAATATTAGTATAGCTTTACTCTGTAGTCTGTATGATGTACTAGTATAATATTAGTATAGCTTTACTCTGTAGTCTGTATGATGTACTAGTATAATATTAGTTTAGCTTTACTCTGTAGTCTGTATGATGTACTAGTATAATATTAGTTTAGCTTTACTCTGTAGTCTGTATGATGTACTAGTATAATATTAGTATAGCTTTACTCTGTAGTCTGTATGATGTACTAGTTATAATATTAGTTTAGCTTTACTCTGTAGTCTGTATGATGTACTAGTATAGCTTTACTCTGTAGTCTGTATGATGTACTAGTATAGCTTTACTCTGTAGTCTGTATGATGTACTAGTATAGCTTTACTCTGTAGTCTGTATGATGTACTAGTATAGCTTTACTCTGTAGTCTGTATGATGTACTAGTATAGCTTTACTCTGTAGTCTGTATGATGTACTAGTATAGCTTTACTCTGTAGTCTGTATGATGTACTAGTATAGCTTTACTCTGTAGTCTGTATGATGTACTAGTATAGCTTTACTCTGTAGTCTGTATGATGTACTAGTATAGCTTTACTCTGTAGTCTGTATGATGTACTAGTATAGCTTTACTCTGTAGTCTGTATGATGTACTAGTATAGCTTTACTCTGTAGTCTGTATGATGTACTAGTTATAATATTAGTTTAGCTTTACTCTGTAGTCTGTATGATGTACTAGTATAATATTAGTATAGCTTTACTCTGTAGTCTGTATGATGTACTAGTATAATATTAGTATAGCTTTACTCTGTAGTCTGTATGATGTACTAGTATAGCTTTACTCTGTAGTCTGTATGATGTATTAGTTATAATATTAGTATAGCTTTACTCTGTAGTCTGTATGATGTACTAGTATAATATTAGTATAGCTTTACTCTGTAGTCTGTATGATGTACTAGTATAATATTAGTTTAGCTTTACTCTGTAGTCTGTATGATGTACTAGTATAATATTAGTATAGCTTTACTCTGTAGTCTGTATGATGTACTAGTATAATATTAGTATAGCTTTACTCTGTAGTCTGTATGATGTACTAGTATAATATTAGTTTAGCTTTACTCTGTAGTCTGTATGATGTACTAGTATAATATTAGTATAGCTTTACTCTGTAGTCTGTATGATGTACTAGTATAATATTAGTATAGCTTTACTCTGTAGTCTGTATGATGTACTAGTATAATATTAGTATAGCTTTACTCTGTAGTCTGTATGATGTACTAGTATAATATTAGTATAGCTTTACTCTGTAGTCTGTATGATGTACTAGTATAATATTAGTATAGCTTTACTCTGTAGTCTGTATGATGTACTAGTATAATATTAGTATAGCTTTACTCTGTAGTCTGTATGATGTACTAGTATAATATTAGTATAGCTTTACTCTGTAGTCTGTATGATGTACTAGTATAATATTAGTTTAGCTTTACTCTGTAGTCTGTATGATGTACTAGTATAATATTAGTATAGCTTTACTCTGTAGTCTGTATGATGTACTAGTATAATATTAGTATAGCTTTACTCTGTAGTCTGTATGATGTACTAGTATAATATTAGTATAGCTTTACTCTGTAGTCTGTATGATGTACTAGTATAATATTAGTATAGCTTTACTCTGTAGTCTGTATGATGTACTAGTATAATATTAGTTTAGCTTTACTCTGTAGTCTGTATGATGTACTAGTATAATATTAGTATAGCTTTACTCTGTAGTCTGTATGATGTACTAGTATAATATTAGTATAGCTTTACTCTGTAGTCTGTATGATGTACTAGTATAATATTAGTATAGCTTTACTCTGTAGTCTGTATGATGTACTAGTATAATATTAGTTTAGCTTTACTCTGTAGTCTGTATGATGTACTAGTATAATATTAGTATAGCTTTACTCTGTAGTCTGTATGATGTACTAGTATAATATTAGTATAGCTTTACTCTGTAGTCTGTATGATGTACTAGTATAATATTAGTATAGCTTTACTCTGTAGTCTGTATGATGTACTAGTATAATATTAGTATAGCTTTACTCTGTAGTCTGTATGATGTACTAGTATAATATTAGTATAGCTTTACTCTGTAGTCTGTATGATGTACTAGTATAATATTAGTATAGCTTTACTCTGTAGTCTGTATGATGTACTAGTATAATATTAGTATAGCTTTACTCTGTAGTCTGTATGATGTACTAGTATAATATTAGTTTAGCTTTACTCTGTAGTCTGTATGATGTACTAGTATAATATTAGTTTAGCTTTACTCTGTAGTCTGTATGATGTACTAGTATAATATTAGTATAGCTTTACTCTGTAGTCTGTATGATGTACTAGTATAATATTAGTTTAGCTTTACTCTGTAGTCTGTATGATGTACTAGTATAATATTAGTATAGCTTTACTCTGTAGTCTGTATGATGTACTAGTATAATATTAGTATAGCTTTACTCTGTAGTCTGTATGATGATGTATGCTGATGTATAGTAATATTAGTATAGCTTTACTCTGTAGTCTGTATGATGTATTAGTATAATATTAGTATAGCTTTACTCTGTAGTCTGTATGATGTACTAGTATAATATTAGTATAGCTTTACTCTGTAGTCTGTATGATGTACTAGTATAATATTAGTATAGCTTTACTCTGTAGTCTGTATGATGTACTAGTATAATATTAGTTTAGCTTTACTCTGTAGTCTGTATGATGTATTAGTTATAATATTAGTTTAGCTTTACTCTGTAGTCTGTATGATGTACTAGTTATAATATTAGTTTAGCTTTACTCTGTAGTCTGTATGATGTACTAGTATAATATTAGTTTAGCTTTACTCTGTAGTCTGTATGATGTACTAGTATAATATTAGTTTAGCTTTACTCTGTAGTCTGTATGATGTATTAGTTATAATATTAGTATAGCTTTACTCTGTAGTCTGTATGATGTACTAGTTATAATATTAGTATAGCTTTACTCTGTAGTCTGTATGATGTACTAGTATAATATTAGTATAGCTTTACTCTGTAGTCTGTATGATGTACTAGTATAATATTAGTATAGCTTTACTCTGTAGTCTGTATGATGTACTAGTATAATATTAGTATAGCTTTACTCTGTAGTCTGTATGATGTACTAGTTATAATATTAGTATAGCTTTACTCTGTAGTCTGTATGATGTACTAGTATAATATTAGTATAGCTTTACTCTGTAGTCTGTATGATGTACTAGTTATAATATTAGTATAGCTTTACTCTGTAGTCTGTATGATGTACTAGTATAATATTAGTTTAGCTTTACTCTGTAGTCTGTATGATGTACTAGTATAATATTAGTATAGCTTTACTCTGTAGTCTGTATGATGTACTAGTTATAATATTAGTATAGCTTTACTCTGTAGTCTGTATGATGTACTAGTATAATATTAGTATAGCTTTACTCTGTAGTCTGTATGATGTACTAGTTATAATATTAGTATAGCTTTACTCTGTAGTCTG